AATTCCCCGAAACAATCATTTAAACATTTCCACAATGAGAATTCACTGACCCCCCTGAGGGAACCTGGGTGCAAAGGCAACACCAAAGAAAGAGATGAGGAGGGAGGCAGAGGGAACTCAAAACCTTTAATGTGAGTGCTAGTGTGGATAGGGTTTAAACAGAAAAAAGAAAACTGAATGATAGAGGAGCACCACCCAGCTTCTGGCCCTGAACCGTCACCTGTCTGTTTCCATTTAGACAGATTTGACAGCAGAGAACCTCACGCTAAAGCTGCTTATTTTTAGTGTACTGTCATTATTCACTAGGAAGGCTATAAAAGACTACTGCAACTGACAGAAATGGACATTGCAACTCCAAACATAATAACTCACAAATTCCTGACCTTATAATTGAGCAACCATTTATATTAAGGGTGGTCTTAGTTAATAACCAACCATAAATTATTGATTACAATGCATGAGTAACATTTAGAATGTATTGTATTTACTCTGTAAATGAGTACTCTATAGAATTTGAAAATAATGTTCTAAAACGGTTTAATCATATATATACATGATATACAGTCCATTATCTGCTTTTTACCTGTGTTAGTTTAACCTGCAACTTAGTTATAGTTTAAATGGTATAGCAATCAGTGTGTTGTGTGTAGTAACTGAATTTATAATGAAGCTTCGATTTTGGCATTTGCTTAAAACAAAACTATATAATTTTTTATTGCAAAAAAAGAGTGTTATTCATTATCAGAGTTTTGTATTTTTTTAGTATCAGTACTTGCATGCATATGTATTATTAAAACAAAATGATGTAATTTAAATAACTTAGAAATATACTATAATTTGCCATATATCTTTCAGTTGCAGGAAAATAAGATGCAACCTCTCTTTCTTGTGAGTTTGGAAAAATAGCAGCAGTTAAGATTGAAATCAGCTGTTACTTAAATCTGATGTAGAGTGTTTTGGACTGGTGGTGTTGACATTTCACAAACCTTGATAGCACTGGAGCATAACATATTTTTATAAGCTTAGCTTGGACATTAAGCACATTTTGTCAGAAGATTTATGATTCTATACTCAAATTCTCTAGTCTGGCCTTAAAGTTTCCCCTTGTTCCTCTGGTGCTTTTTTTCGACACAGGTCTTGATCACATTAAATAATTGATCCCTGCAATTTAATTTCTTGTTTGATTGGAACCTTTTCTGATCTTTCTTTTTAGACACTCTGCTGTAGGTATATTGTTATGAAGAACAAAACTACATCCATTCTCCACTCAATGTGCTTACTGAGTGGCTGTTGCCTTATTTCTGTCTGAATAACTTTTAATAGCTCACAATTTAATGATATTCAGACACAGGCGGGAACAAAAATAATTACTCTGTTCAGTAGAATAATTACTCACATTCCTAACACCTTAATGAAGGGAGGATTGTAATCCTGGAAACTGTCTAGGTACTTTTAACCCTATTTACAATTTTTAACCCTATCCTACTTCTTCATAACCTACTAGAGACCCCAATTAATAAAGATTTATAATAAATCTTTCTGCACCAAGTGATTCCAATACTGTTAATGAAATTACCTCACTCAAGCAGTACCATAAATATGGATCCATTTCTGGTTAGGAAATAAATAGTTGGACCCTCAAAAAAGTGTGAATATTTATTATGGAAGTTTTGTACTGTATGTTGTTGTTTTTTGGTAAGCTATTAAAACTTGTTTGGATGATGACATGCAGCTCACATCCATCTTGGCAAGCCAGTACTAATTGCCTCTTAATGTTTTCCAGTCCATTTCAGGAATCACATCCTTGTCAGCAAAATCTCACCCCATTTGTCCTTTTTAAGGTGTAAATCTGATTGAGTTTTTTTCCTACTGACATCAATTTCAAGTGATAACTTGCTATGAAAACTCTTAACTGAAAGGAAAGTAAAATGTGGTAAATCCATTAATGTCAGTGTTGGATATAGTCCTTAATTCTTAAAATAATACCTTAAAGGCCAGTATTATGAGCTTAACACTTTAATATTTTGAAATCTACCCAAGCACAGCTGCTAAAGACCATCCAAAACACTTTGTGTAAGCACTTTCTTGACTTTGCCATTTTATCTTTACTTTAGCCAAAATGTTTAATATTTAATTCTGAGGTGTTTTCACAATAGACAATGGTTATATTGAAAGGATAGTAATGGATATTTAAATATAAATATAGTGATACGGTATTAAAAACATAAAAAGTTTTTTTCATTGTGAAACTCTTTTTCTCCTCTTAATAAGGTTATATGCACACAGAATGAGGAAGCAGCTTGACCAGTTGAAGGATCATGAAATATTAAAATACCTAAATTTGGATATGGATTTTAGATACTGATTAAATGCTTGGCAACATTTTGTTTATTCTTGATTATTCTCGACAGACTGTGATACACTTGAGTAACTTTTGATTGTTGCATGAACACTGAATCACCTTATTAGTGAGAGAGGTGATTGTAGATGAAAATGAAATGTCGTGTGGGTTGATAATAACTTAGCAAATCTGATTTAAATTATTTAATGTTCGAAACAATATGAAGACAATTTACTGTGGGAAAAAAAATGTTAATTTCTTTTATTTCAACTTCAGAATCCCTAAGGCTAGTTTGAGCTGAGAGGCCAGGGGTGGATAGAAATGGAAAATTAATTACCTGTTCACTTTGCACATGGCAGAGTTAAGGCAAACTTTTTCCACTGTGGGAAAGTTCAGGAGGCAGCTAACAAAATTATACCTGCTCTGCTGACAGACAGAAATTCTACTTAAAGTTAGTTCATTTACCAAAGCAAAGGGCAAACATAAATAGCTTTTTTTTGCTTTTTTGTAGAGATTGCTCAATTGTGAGCATGCAAATATCTTGTTGTTTCATTAAACTGGGAATTAGAGCGCAATTATAATTCCATGCTTGAAGTGCGCTATGATTGACTATTGTGAATTTTCAGTTGTTCCATTAGTGATTTAATCAGTGTTTTGAGAATTAATTAGGTTACTTGAGATCTTATTTCATCACACTTTCTCTTTCAACCTTCGGGCTACATGCAAGACAAGACGAATTTCTCTCTCAATAGCGTATCTGATTAAGTATGTCACAATTCTACTTTTTCATGGTGTTAGATAAGTTTTCTTTCTGCCACTATACATATTTATTTGTTTGTTTTCAATCTTACCGTTATTAGCATTTAGGAGTCATAAGTCAAAAAATGTCCTCAAAATGTCTTCATTTGTGTTGAATGTTAAATGTTACAGTTGTAAAATTCTAAAATTTGTCTCCAACATAATTCATTACTTAAACAAGAACCTGACAATGAAGATTAAAATTCAGGGAAAACAAAATGAATCTGCCAAATGTGTTTGATTTGAGTATCCTCTTCTTATACAGCATTTTTACAGTGTTTTTTTACAGTGAGGAATTTATCAAATGAGCCATAGCTTTGCAGATTTGAAACAGATATATTGTGGATGTCTTGAGTGACTTGTCTTGCAGTAAAAGACAACTTTTTTGTACATAAATCTAAGAACTCAAGAGCACATTTTTACAATCTGGAATTCATCAAGAAGTGAAATATTATAGTACTGTGTCAAATATCTATTACCCTCTGCTCTCTGTTTAGTCTTCACTTTCTTTGTATTGTACTGAATTCATATATAAGACATCAGAAAAGTACACGCAGGAGAGATCTTTAATTTCATTTGACCGATTCTGTGGAAAAAGGAGATTCAAATTGTTCTAATGATTTGATCCACTGATAAACCCATGCACAAATTTAATTTTTGTTCAGCATACTGTAATATTAATACCCTATATATTCTTCACAAAATACATAGTACATGTCAAAATAGTCTATAGTTTTAATTATTAATTTAACAAATACATTAATTTTCAGATACAAGTCTCAATGATAACTGATCATGAGGTGTTTTATAAAAATATAAAGTTTCTGTGAATCAATTTATCTTAAAAATCAAAATGATGTGTTTTGTAGCACACAAGAATTTTTATATAGCAGGCATATGTAGTTGATGACCTATTTTTAAGTCCACAGAAGACTGCAGATTGACTTCACCAAATCAACAGCACACCAGTCAATCAAATCAATCAATGCTCTTTAAGAAAACACATTTTGATTGTGTGCACCATTTGTCACTTTATCCCTATCGCAAGCAAGTGTGTCTGTATGGTTGGAAATTTGTATTGTAGCGTTATTGCATTAGTTCCTTTAGACTTGAATTACGCTGCTCATAGATTTACAAAAATATAGAAAATAGGGTTAACGTTAACTGAGCACCTACAATGTGGCAGAGGCAGGCACGAAGCTAAGAGTGATCAAAATTTGATTTCCACTTTCCTGATTGAGATCTAAAAAAAAAGGTTGAGGCAGATTTGTATTCACATTGTTCTGTTGCTTGACTGCAATGACTTTAACATGAAGAATGTTTCTCTAGTGTTTTCCCCCCATCTTTCAGAAAAATTGGGATGGGCTGCCTTTGCTGGATGAACTTCTGAATTGTTGTTTCAAAGGCAGACTTTTCCGTTCTTTGCACATTGTAATTTCTCGATAGGGTGATAAGTCAGCAGAACCACTGGGATGCGGTCAGACTGCTGAACAAACATAGCAGAGTTTAAAAGTTCATATAGCAACTCAAGCAAAACATGAGCAACTCATTTGTCTAGCTAATCACAGGTTTTTATTTAGTAATAAACTAAGATTAGCTGTCATGTGGCTCATTACGTACGATTCGGATTAACATTGCTGGGAATTATTTTATGAGTGCTGCATTTATTAGGACGACTGAAACTAAAACGTGCATGATAGAATAAGAGTTATTTCTTTCCAATTCAAAATGGAACCTTTCTGGTAGGTCCCCAGGGAAACTCACTGTAGACAGATAAGAAAAACAGATGTGTTTTGGCAAACAGAAGGAGAAAAAGAGGTACAGTATGTGAAAAATGAAACAATCATGAAATGGCAATACATTAACCTTTCGGTCAGTAATGTGAAATAGATTTTAATATTCATTCTACCAACAACACATTGTTTGGAGTTCTTCCTTTGCTCTTGCATAACATTTTAATCACTTGATGAGGTGAATTTAGTTTTTCTCACAGCCTATTAAACATGGAAAGCTTTCTGAAGAATATGAAACTGCATTTTCATTTGGGCAGTTATAATTTATAGGTGAGACCAAGATTAGTGGTTGCCATGAGAAATACAGTAGTAACCCATTCAGTAACTTGTGGGGTTTCTTCAGTAAAAATAGTTGTTATACTGTATATGTTATGTTGTGTTAACAATAACAGCTCTCTCAGCACTTTCTCTTTCTGCCCAAAAAACACCACATTAGTCAAGAGTAAGACAATGCCTGTGTCAGACTTTCAGTGATATATAGATAAAAATGTACCCCAGGAAGATATTGTCCAATACAATTTTATTTTTTATAAAATGTAGAAACACTTCACAAGTTATTGAGTGCATTGTAAAGCCCTGTATATATTGGGCCAAAGAAAACTTTTATTACAAGCACTTTATACAGACAAATCACACAAAAATGTAAATAAAGGTGCTATGTGTTTCACAGTGTCTTGCATCACTGTTTTTGTTTCTGTTCCAAAGTAAATAAAAGCCATGATTTAAAAAAAAAATCACTGATAGTTTGTGGGTTTATGTTTTTTAACTTCAGTAATGAAAACAATCTGTGTTCCTAAAATTTCACTAAAATGCTTCTTAAATTTTGCTATTATACAAACAGTAACAATAACAAAAAGGAGCCAGCAAACATTAATTGCACAGTGAAAAGTACTGTAAAATACACCACCTTACCTGCCTTACGTGAGGATAACTATACAGTTTGTTCCATAGTATTCCAAAGTAATGTTCAAAGAAAGTAATTGGACAGCAAAACTGTGGTGAAGCTGCAAAAATACAATTCCAAAGTACCATGGAAATCTTAACTATGCTACCAATTTGAACTGAAATGTGAATAAGGAATTTCTTCATGACTGCATAAAACGTCTTACAAAAGAAAAACAAAAACACATTTCTATACACACCTAGCTGAAATTTCTTTGAAAACTCATCAGCTCTCCCTGATAACACCTGGATCTCGTGTTTTAAATGCTCGTATCCAAACTGCTTTTCAAATACTAGTCTACTTCCTAACCAGTGCTTGCTTTTTCTTAACACAATTATTGTAATAAAGCACATTTTTCACATCCTTCCCAGTGGCATTTCACAAAAAAAAATTATGTCGGAGCTTCGACATCATTTTCTTCATCAGTATAAAAAATACTGTTACAAAGCGTTTAAAAGAGGAATCTATCATTTTCCGTGATGGATGTCACTAAAAAAATGTAATGCTGAAAAACTGTGCAGTACACATCTGGAAAACATTTATGGTTTTACGCATAGGGTGTTTTCATCTTGATTATTCATTTAACTGTTCCTTGCTGTCCTGCAGCAACTGGTACAACTGGGAAAGCAGGTGCTGCTGAAGAGCTTTCCTTTCGGCTGGGTCTTCCACTGCTGGCTCTGCACACCTCTGCACGGCCTGTTGCAGCTGAACCTGCAAAGGCTGGTTGGCTTTGGGGGATACGAGGCTGGGGGAGAACCAATGCCTGAAGATTTTGTCACAGATCACCTGCAGAAACACAGCATAAAGTACCTGTCAGTTCAGAGACTTGTACGTGGCTTGATGAAAGCTACAGCATGCAGGATATTTGCCACAAAGGTTACGTATGAAGTCACCTCTTCAATGTAAAGATCGCGTTACTGACTTTCAAGGCTCTAAATAATCTGGCTCCATCATACATTTCTAAGCTCCTCAATGTTTACAATCCCTCCAGTGGGTTCTGTTTATTTGAGGCTGGTCCTTTGCTCACTGTACCCAAGACTAAATCCCAGACTTTTCAAGACCATGCCTTTTCTGTCGCTGCTCCATTGCTATAGAATGCCCTTCCTCAGATTCTATGGGAGACGAATTCTCAAATCAACACTCGAAACTCAGGTTTTTACCAGGGCCTATGTCTTTTTGCCCTGCATTCTATCTGTATAAACCTGTATGCTCTTGTTTACTTTCTGTTGTACTTTTTTGTCATTTACTTTATCACTATGCAGAGTGTCGTTTAATTTAGAAAGGCACATTATAAATAATAGATAATTTTTTAGATGATGATGATGATGATTATTATTTTTATTGGGAACAACAAGATTATGATTACATGTCCCTAAATCAGAATTCCCCGACAAGGTAGAACTGTTAGCCAAAAGGCAGAAATCCCACCCCCTTAATACACATCCTGGTTTTGTCCTACAGCTGTGCAATGAGTTCACAACTAGTTTCCACACAGACCTATATCTAACAGCTGCACAAAGCTGTGTCAAGCAAAACAAGACAATTTCTCATTTTGACCCAGTTCCAGCAGATGCATTTCCTACACTGGAATGCATAACAAAGAAGACAAACAAAAGGGACAAAGTTGACAATAATCAGGCGAAAAAGTGACAAATAAATACAGAGAACATATACTCAAATTAGCTTTGCATTTTACAATGATAAAAGTACTTTATTGATAAAAGCCTCTGGCTCATATTTTATTGTTAATACAGATACCATTATTAAATATATTCAGATCTGTTTTGTTTTTCTTTAATGCATACAATTTCTTGCATGGTTTACAAAGTCATTACAACACCTAACTACAAGAATTATCTGAACAATTGAATATTTAACACAAAAAGTTAAAACCTTTAATGTTGAAAGTGTCTTGCTCAGTATGGCATCTGTAGAACTATGAATGTAACCCCAGAAGTCTAAATGTAAAACTAAGCAGAAACCAATCAGACATGCATAATGTCTGTTTTATACTCTCCCCATTTGTAATCACCAGTTGATTATCAACTCAGTTTACTACCATGAACCATCACAAATATAGTCATTTGATGGTCTGAAACACCTACAGTAACAATGTAGTAAGTAATAATTAGGGTTTCTTTCACTTACAATACTGCAGGCTGACACGCCTAGTCATATGTGTCCCTGTTGGACAAGTCTGCCCAAGTCTATCCAACCCATTTGGTGCTTTTCTGACACAATTATGTACTGTCTTGGTTGGCTAATGACTATACCTAATAGCCCCAGACTCGACATTTGACTCCAAGGAACCACTCACGAATAACTAATATAGATATATATTTTTAATATATAATATATATATATATATTTATGATCCCATAATTAGGAGAAGGAGGAAGTGTAGGCAAACTCCTTTGGCCCACCCAACTTTGAGCCATTTCACTTTTACAATATCATGGAAAACACAGCCCTATACCGGAGATTGAAGAGCTGTTTGGAGGTGATGTGCTTTATCTCAACAACATAACTTTAAGTACTCTCGAGAAGGCAGTGAATGCTAGAGAGAAGAAGCAAGAGAGCTCTGCCAAATAATCCCACCCTATCCTTGGTGGCCAATTGAGCACCACAATGACACTTGAACTCTGGCCACAGTCTGCTAGTGACATGATCCATGCTCAAGCGTTTGAACCCTTTATCACTGAGTTGAGGGCCCAAACCTACATGTACGTTCGGGCAAGCCTCTTGACTTGTTGAGACACTCAGAATTCTCAAACGATATTTTTTAAGAAAGATAGAGAACTAAAGGGTAGTTAACACCAGCTAAGACTCAAACAGTGGATTCATGTGTTTTTACTATTTCAAGTGGAATAGTAATAGTAGATAAATAGTAATAGTAGAATAGAACAGCAATATTCAATTGACACTTGAGAAATAAACGCATGTGTTTTATGGCTATTCTACTTGAAATACAGATGGATTTATTTTTAAAATTCAGCTTTTAAAAACTTAATGACCAAGAAAAACTGCAAAGATACAAAAAACAGCACAACAAACCCAGATATAAACTGTGATTTTATTTTTTGTGGCCACCTACAGTATAATTCTACAGTTTGCTTTATATCTTTTCTGCCAAAATAGCTCCTTACCTGGAGATTGCTATTGGTGCGTTTTGAACCACACTTATTTTTCTTCATGTCACACTTTGAGAAGCAGTCAAAGAAATTGCAGTCTTCATCATTTGTGCAGTTCTGTTCAAGTATGTCCTGCATTTTGGGCTCAAAGAATGCCATGTCCACATCAATTGCAACAACCTGCAAGACACAAACAAACACTGACTATTATCAAATGAAGAAAGACCGATTAAAGCAGACGGCACATAAACTATTAAAGCAATTAATACATCTATTTTGTCTTCAGTTGAAAAATATTCTTTCTTGCCAATGTTGAAACTGACTTTTCATGGTTATCAGTATGGAATTTATCTTCTTCTATGAATAATGTCATTTCTCAGGAATTCAGGACAGCTTTTTGCATGTGACTAATGTTTGATTAGATAATCATGTCTATTACAGAATAACATATATTACTGTAGAAATTGTAAAAATATTTATATTAATAATATTAAGCACATTAAACTGATCTATTCTTTGTGGCTATGGTCCATATGGTCTAGCAGCAGATTCATAGCATTTGTTATTGTAAATGTCTCCAAGCATTGAGAACAATAGAACTGTTCACATTATTTCGTATTTTTATGTCGGAAGTATTTCTGGATGCTAAATGAACACATAAAAAATTACAAACATTTTTGAATCTCCATATGCTTTTGAGCATGTTAAGGACTCTTTGTTTGGCTGGTGTCAGAACTAATACCAGTACTCATACAGTAGAAGACATTCTCACTGGTTTAGGTTACTTCATTGAGAAGATATTTATTTTAGATTGACAGTGTGGATAGTTTGAATGATAATGGGTTCACACAGTTCTATAATGACCTCTGATCTGAACATCACGCCAGTGGCACAGTGGTTGGAATTCCTACCTCACAGGTCCAGAGTTCTGGATTTAATTCCATACTGGGACACCTGACCCAGTGTGGTGTCTGCTTGTATTCTCATGGTTGTTTCCCATGTCCTCTTGTTTCCTCCCACCTCCCCCCAAAAATTTTAGATTTGATTATCCCCTTCTTAGCTAGGGGTTCTAGGGGAATTCTTACTTCAGGTATTGTTTCCAGTCACTGGCTTTGTGATTACAGAATTTTTTTTTTCTTGGCTAATTGGCATTTCTAGACTATCCTCTGTGTGTATGTGTGTGAAGGCTTGTGCATGTGGACTGGCATTGGAGAATCTTCTCTTGTGACCTGTCTGACAGGTTAAGGTCAGGCTCACTGCAAAATCATGCTGCCTGAAATGATTATGGATGGATTTTTAAAATGAAAGGTAAATGCAACAGCAATCTAACAGCTGTTTGTCGGTTCACTCAGCTGTAATTGTGTGCAGTGGTTATGACGCAGAAAAGAAAAAAAGCAATCCCTGTTTATTTCTAGTATTTTCTGCCATGTATATCATTCCTAGATGAACATAATTGTAAGGTGGCTGCTGTAAAATTACAATTAGTAATTTAAAGTGTATATATCAAAGATATAATAGTTCACCAAAACAGTCAATTACGAAGGAACATACTTAAAGTTTTAAAAAGATTAGTGTTAGTGTTCAAATTAGGTACACATTCATGATGATTCTGTTTTAAAGAATACAGTATATGCTGTAAAGAACTCCAAATGCCTTAAATTTGATTTAATGCTTTCCTTTTATAACTTCGTAGACCACACCTCTCATAAGCTTTTAAATAATTGCAATTCACATTTAAGGGCCTTAGGCTGTGTAATATTTGAGTGGATATTAATATGCTTCAGAGTTAATGGGCAGATGGAATCAGCGCACAATGTATCCAGCTTACTTGGAAAAAATATTGCAGCAAAGACATTCCAACAAGCCCATACCCTGGAGGATTTTTGTTTTTCTGAATAAGCCTAGTTGTACAGAAATAAACAATATGGCTTAGGCACAGAGAGCTTTTATGAGCACATGAAAGTATGGTGTGTGGCACAAATACAAAAACTGAAACCTCAAAGTAGTATTGTGTTGATTAAAACAGTATTCTGATTGTTTACAACGTTTATTGAATGTACCAAAATAAGTTCGTCTTGTGTCTAGCTTTTTTTCCAAAGGACAAAATGATGGGGATCAAAATTAAATTACAAACCCAGAGTTTGTTTCATTCTGTATTTCATTCATCTTTCTTTCTTAAATCCAGAATAAAACCCTGGTGGTAAAGTGATGACCACGTAATTCACTCTGTCATTTTCAGTTCAGCTCATGAAAGAAGCCCAGACTGGTAGCTAGTCAAGTGAGCCTTGGACAAGCAATCCCATTGGAGTGTTTATGATAGATATCCATACCAAATTTCAGGGTAATGGTTATCTTTTAGGAGCATACAGTCACTATGATTTATGCTAATGAATATTGCAATGTGCTCGGCATATACTAGTTATACCACTATATAATATGACATACCTACTTAATGCCCCACCTGACTCATTCAACACTGGCCAGTAAACAATGAGAGTATACAGATAGTAAAAAGAGCATTCTCTGCTAAAATTCAAAACAAACATTAAGAAACAAAACAAACATTGTTCTTTTCATTTATATCAATTTCAGCTTCTGAAATTTGCCATTAATATCACATTGCTACTGACCTTCCTGATCTCATTACAAAGTATGCTGTTTTGCACCTGAGACCGAAATAGGTGGTCCGTACAAATGTTGTGAAACTTTTTAAGATCTGTTTTTCAGTGTATTCCATAAAATTTCAAACTATAGTACCCTTCTGCTTCTATTCCCTAACTTCAGAGTTATTTTGTGATACACTACAGTACTCTTCCCCACCAGCCATTCTGGCTAGCCCATCTTTCTACAGAATATCAATTACTTTTAAATGTATCATTCTCAAATTTGTTTTAGTTATCACAGTGTCACAACCTTGAATTATTGCATTTTATTCCTTGCACTTCTAAGCCTAAGGCATAAAAATGTAAGAAATTACTTAATTGATAGGTTATTTGTTTTAAGCATTCTCAGTGTTGTAGTGTTGGTTTTCTTGATCCCAACAGATTTGGCCTGTTCTAAGATTCGTGCTCTTCAGCCCCATTATTTTAAAGCTCCTCAAGTACTCTATGCAGACGCTACTCCAATAAATCACTCTCCTTCCATTGCACTGCATTCCACTTGTACAGGTCCCATTTGGTCAAGACTTATCTTCAATAGGTACAATAAAATTAAAGCTGTCTTCTCTCTAGCAATCTTTCAGCCATGTGGGATTCCTCTTGGTTCTTGAGAATTCTGCTCTGAGGTTTACAATCTAAAGCTTTGTATTTGCAGACTTGTAATTTTACCTTTTTCTAAGCAATTGAAATGGAAATCTAATAAGTAAATTGATTCTTAAAATGTAAAGAGCTTTAGGAAAGTATACATATATAAGGATGTAACTGCTGTGCTACGTGCAGATCTTTAGAAGACAGTTTGTAAACACATTACATACTGTCTAGATTACTAAATTAGCCGAGGGTAACTGCTAAGCTTTGCAAAATATATATTGGCACTTCTTCTTTTGTTTCTATGATGTAATCTGTTTTGTCCTAAGGAAAGGAGAAGTATTAGAAAGGACAAAGTGCTGTACTTTCCTCTGCATTACAATATCTTTATAAAAAGCCTTTACTGCCTGTAACAAGTTGAATCTCTGACGCACTCTGCAGAGTGACAGCAGGGCTCCCAATACTGCAATATTGAAATAAAGACCTTGCTCAGGTGAGAACTCTCTCTAGTGGCTTCCATGATAGGTATATTTCCAGGACACGATTCATTCCAAAAATGGACCATTGTGGCTGAGTCCACCCCAGCTCTCGCCAGAAGCCTGTGCACTCTCTCAGGGAAGTCTAAAACCAGGACTGAATTCAGGCAAAAGATCATACAAGACTCCTTTGAACATGGGCACTGTCTGGCCTTCACATCTGTCTGGATCCCTACAATCACTCCCTGCCTTTTACCAGTGGAATTAGGTTTCCACATGTCCCTGGGCCTCTCAATTGTCTAATTTTTCTCCCAGTTATCAGAGATCTCAGACTTGACTCCAGTAAATCCTGGACAAGGTTGAATACAGAAACTTCTGGACATACTGTACGGCTTCTGTTAGGAGGTGCATACCCTTCCATGCAATTATGGCCTGTGGCTACCTCTTCCTCTATGGTTGAAGTCTCCCTCCTCCTCTTACAGTGACTTGTAGACTGTCTTGTGAAAAGAGCATTCTTAGTAGTCTTTCCAATACTGTTAAATGTGTATAGTTGAGCAGATCAGCAATCCAGATCACAAGCCCAGGGGAGCCCATTTTGGTCTCAATCTGCTCAAGTAGCTCACATTGTTCACAGGTGAAGTGTCTTTGAATGGCTCCGGAAGTCTATTATTGAATCACATACTGCAACTGCCTGCACTACTATGTCTTTTTGACTTTTTAAATCTGATCCAAGGTTCCAAAAATGGCATTGAATATCAAGTTAATTTACAGTAACTTTAATTAAATGAATATGTTAGATGGATCTGATTTGACTTGTACATGCAGTTTCAAGTATTCAATGGACACATGAATTTGGTAAACTGGTGTATACAGAAGTAAAATAATTAGATTACATAAAATAATAAAATAATAATTATTAGAATTTTAATTTAATAATTAGAATCAAGTAGAATTAAAGAGCTTTAAAAAGAAAACAGAACAAAAGCAGACAAGAGAAACAGTTTTGAATATATTAATTTCAATAGTTAATGCTAGTTAGGGTGGTTTAATTGTATCATATTGCTACAGGTGATAATATTTTTAATATGTACTGCCAACTAAATGGTACTGTAAAACCTAGTGATTAACCAAAATGAAGTGATAGCAGAGTGAAAATCATCAAGATATTATACATTTAGAACAGATTTAATCCGAGTTTGTAAATGCCATCTGCGCTCTTGTAACTGCAAAATATAAATAGCAATATACAAATAGTAGTAAACAGTTTATATTTTTTGTACTTCTTGACAATTTAATTTAAATTCATTCTCTCTCTTTCCATATGCAGATCAAACAATGAAGAGTTTAGCTGAATAGCAAATTGATTGTTTTAGAGAAGTTGCAACTCCTAATGTTTTCAGCTCCAAGCAAGGACATTACAGGATCAATGTAACTGGGAGGACATTGAAAGCCTGAGAGTGAAATGAAGCAAAAAAAGAAAAGCTGAAAAACAGGGAACTAGGTTTACCTTATCCTGGTGTGTCAGTTTTGAGAATTTTAATTATATACTTTTTTATATAAAAAAAACTTATGGCAGCTCCAATGATAACTATGTTTTGTCAAAGAAATTTGAGTGTAAGAGAAATTTGTTGTGCCTCCCATAATGTTGCACCCTTGATAAAAGTAATTAATAATGTAATATTTTTAATAATGATAAATAATTTAAATCATGTTCAATTTAAAGGTAATGACTACAGACAAAGAAAAGAGGCTTTAGTTTCATGACACTCCCTCACATGCCAGGTGTGCAAAGAAAGGGAAAGAGGGAAAATTACTACGAACCATCTTGTACCACCTTTCCATAATAGAGATGCTCATTTATGCACACTCAAATATATTACAAATACATATGATTAAATAATAATGTTATTTATATGGTTTGTTTATTAGAAATGTGAGTAGTCAGTTAAGTTTGTGAGAACTGAGAAGGCAGACAAACATAAACACCTCTAACAAGATTGTGATACCTGCAAGCTTTACCTTTAATGACTTAAATTATAAACAAACTGTTTTTGAAAGCTGGGAAAAGTTTTGGTTTTTTTGGTGGCCAAGATAATAAGCGGGCTGCTATATTTTTTGGAGTTATTTTTGTCAGGACAAAAAGAGAACTTTAAATGCTGGAATAAGAAGCTTAGAAGATTATTGTACGCTTATAAAATTAACTGAACTTAAGAATTGCGAAACAAGAAGGTTCCATATTACTGCATTCCTTTCACAAGGGTTTGAAGGTTTAAACAGAGTGGTGCAGCTCCTATGATCACACTTACCGTAAGGTCTTTTCTAATAGCGAAATTTTCTGGCTTTACGTCACAGAGGTGAAGCTTGTAAGAGAAATCGTTTTCGAAGTGGGAGACCATGTCTAAGAAACTGAGTGCAATTTTATGGATGGCCTCTCTTAAAGCTCTCCTCTTTTGTGTCACCCTTGATGGGTCAAGCAGTTCTTCAAGACAGAAGAGATTCTGGTTCCACGTGTGCCCAGCTATGAGGTGCTCCACAGCGTAGAAGTGTCCACAGGAGCCAAGGACTTTGACCACATGTTTGCTCAGGTCCTGTAAGATTTTGAAAAGCGTGTACTCTTCCTGCTGGAGCAGTGACCACATAGAGGCGAGCTCAGCCTTGGAATAGGGTTCTACTCTTTCTTCGAGATGTTTGGTCCACAGCTTGGGCACAGTGGTATTTTTCAGTTCAAGGCCTAAAGAACTTTTAATCTCCATCGCAGTGTAAAACACAATATCCATTGTGGAGATTTCGTGCATTTCCTGATAATCCAGTAGGCCAAAGGTCTCATAGGCAGAGAAGTTTTCCAGCTTGGATTTGAGGATGATGGGAAGCCCACGCCAGTCTGCCTCAATAACCTTTTTACCGTTTTCATAATAAAGACACCTCCTGTACTCCACTTTCTGGCTCACACACAGATCTTCACACAGGTCCCCAGTGAGAATTCCCTCCTTGTATTGATCACACTAAAATAAAAACAAAAGGCGACAATGATGAACGTTGACACCAAATACAGTTGTGACCACTTTCAGTCAAAATTGTTTGGGCAAATGCGATTTGAACATAATTGTGATAGGACAATTCTCAATGACCTAAATTCTGCAATACTTTGGTCTGCTGTATAGGTCTCTTTTGAATTAAAATGAGCACAAATAGGGGAATCAGCAGAAGATTCAACATTCCTTTTGACCATCCGAACATAAGGAAGATTACAGGATGTAATTCAGACCATCTAGACTGTTTTGTAGTTAATAGTAAATTGGTTCAAGTATCTCATCAGATATTTGTTGAACTAAAAGGGGTGGGTAGCTTGTTACAGACTCCCACAACCTTGCTGAGAAAGAAAGTAATAATGACAAAGAAATTAAAGTAATAAAATATACTTTTCATTTCTAAAGCAAATTTCCAAGGATGCTGTACATGGTGATAAAGAAGAAAAAGAGAAAAAAATACAATAAAACATTTAAAAATGAGAACACGCATGATAAACTGTGAAGCAGTCAGACATAGGCCCTAGTTAAAAAAATTAGTTTAAAGTTGAGACTTGAAAAGAGGCAAAGAATGTTTCTCTCAAAGAGTTGGAGAAAGTGCATTCCATAAGAACAGAGCAGAAAACAGAAAAGCATGGTGACCAAACGTCCGAGATTTAGTCCCAGGTTCGCTGAGCAAAGGACCAACCTCAACTGAATGGAGGGAGGCTTCATGTAAATATGAGGGATTTCTGAAATATGCTACTGTATATGATGGAGCCAGATTATTTAAAACCCTGAAACTCAGTAACAAGATCTTATATTGAATATTTGACTTTGAATAGGCTACCACTGTAGAGACTTAAATGTAGGACTGATATGCTGCCATGGTCTGGTACGAGTTAGAAGTCCAGTTGTTGCGTTTTGGACATATTCTGACTTACCTGGAAGAGTGTTAAGGCACTCATAGGGCAAAGAGTTGAAAAAATCAAGCCTTGATGTTATAAATGTATGAATCAGGTGCTCAGCATCGGACATTGATCGAAATTGCTTAATGCATGAGATATTTCAAAGGCGAAAAAATCTAGACTTAATCAAATTTTTCACGTGGGGCTCAAAAGGATCAGGTGTGATTCCCAGAATCTTGACTATGGCTGTTGTCTGAATAGCAAAGCCACCCACCACTGCTGCTCTCCGGCTTTTCCAGCTGACAAAGTCTCTCCATTCCTCAGTTTTAAGTGCACGCCTCTGTAATTTACAATTGTGTACTCTTGTTCATGTTGTACTTTTGATTCAGAAGATGTCAATTGAATAATATGATTAAACTGGTTTAGCCCTGTCAGGCTAAAATATTTATTTAATATATAAAGAAATCCAAGAAAGGTACATGGTAGGTCTTGCAGAGAACTGCAACTCTATACAGTTTATAAGAGTGATGCACAAAGCCAGACTATTACATACAGATGTGATTGAGTTTCATTTTGTTCGTGGCCATTTGCTGTAGTTACATGATTTCTGTATATCGGCAGCTCATTGTAATTGTGCGAAGCTTTGATCAATATAATTGATTCTGATTTATTATGGCTGTTTTGATCTGAACTTTCTTGTCTTGATACACTGCAGGGGATAGTGTATTCATAATACAAATTCATACACATTGACGTTTGCATTGATTGCGACCACTCAAAGTTAGAGATTGATTCACACGTTCACACGTTAAGGAGTCCACAGGGTAAAGAGCTGCAGAAGCCTTGATGTTAATGAAGGAATTTCTGGTTACAAATTTGTATCAGGGCATAGACATTGTACAGTAGGTTCAGTCAAAACAAGTAATACATTCTTACCACTTGTAGCTCCAAAAGTGTCCTGTTGGCCTGATTAAATGTTCTTTTGCAATCAAGTAATGAATATACTGGGGGAAAAAATTCAAAGAATAAGAGGAATTTGTTCCCTCTTTTTGTCTCGTGTTATTAAATATTACTGTGGTGACATGAAATAGCATCTCATCTGTTTAAAAGTAGTTCCTCTGCCAGTTTGGGATTTGTTACACTTGTTTTGGATTTCCTGGTGTGTTTTAAAGCAGCTGCCTTCAGTGTTGATTCACATGAAAATTGAAAGACTGGTCAAATGAATGAAACCAAAGGTCATTAATGCTGATAAGGCACCGGAACGTATGTCAATCCACAGCTGAAACGTTGTGTTTCTTTTCTTTTTATTTCAGCAAGGAATAAACCCTTACTTTTGCTTTTGGAAATTCGCATTGTAATTAAATTCCCTCAAAATAAGAGATAAATGAGATGAATTTTACAAAAGTAATTTTCTTTTACTTGTTTACAACAGAATTCAAGCCTTGCCTTTGTGCAATCTTGAAAATAATACTTTTCTTCCAAACATCAAACTCCCAGACCTCTTAACTTTTTATTTATAGAATTTTTATATAGATTTTTTAAACAGATTTATAGAATTTTTAGCATGAATCCTGGAACATAGCTGATTATGAACAAGGAACATCCTATAAAAAAGTATTTTCTAGTGTGCTGAATCATTCCAACACTCTTAATTTAGAATTTAATGATGCATATGGTCAAACTTTCTCTTTTTTTAAATCTTGCTTATGGGGATCAAGTGTTTTCTTGTGATTCTTTATTAGAGTCCTTTTTGATTATTACAGAACGACTCTTTCAGTGCTGGTCTGTAGTGGTATGTGAAGAATTCAACAAAGTAAAAAATGGCTGTATTGAATTTCCTCAGCAATGCCAGATATGTTGAAGAGTGTTGAAATAAAAAAGCCCATTTCAGAGAATGCACCATTTTTCCTAGACAAACATTAATAATCTGGAAATTCTGGGAATCTGGGAACTTTACAGTGTTCTTGCCTTTATTCCAAGAAGAACATACAGTAGCTGTTTATAATACAACCAGTACCATTCAATGCATCACATCTACAATGATTCTCTCCAACAGCAGTGCCTTGTTAAAAAAAACTGAAACATTGAAATATTCATGTTTCATTCTGAATGGCAATATTTAGGACAGGGCAAAGATGTGAAAAATCAGTTTTAAGGTATACTAGTTCAAATGGGAGGCACTGTAATTACTGAAGCACCTTGAAACACATTTAAGAATCCGTTTGAAAAAGAAATTGTGTAGAAATTTTATCAATTAATGTTAAAATGACATGCCTTGCACTGGTAAGATATTATTTAGACTCCTGAGATGAGAGTTACAGTATGCATGAAAGATTTCAAAAACCAGCAAAGCCAAATGTCTCAAAGAAATGTTGTATACAGGCAGGTTAAAGGAACTCATTATTTTCAAAAGCAGAAACTATAAGGGACATTGAATTGAAATTCTTCACAAAGTTAACTCTGGGGTCCAAAAGTACTGACTTGTTGCTACGAGTACATGAAATGACAACTGAAAATGTGAAAATGATCCTGCGTTTTTCTGGAATTCTTCAAGAAATAAGATTACTGGATTGATTAGGGGAAAATTATTTTAATGGTATTTCTTGTTTTCTTGAGTGCCAGGTAATACTATAATATATATTACAGCTAATTTGTCGATTCATCTGTCACCTCCAAGCCGCCAAGCCACCTCTCTTGAGGGTCATGGTAATCAATCAGTATTTTCCTCAAAGCATATGGTACAAGCTGGATCAGAGAGCACATAACTTCTCTCTTCCTGGGCAGGACACCAGACTGAATTTCCAAAACTAACATTTTACTGCATTCCAAGATTGAATGCTTAAAATGTAAGAAACAGCATTATTTAATTCTTCACACATAACAGTATATCCCACCTTTCACCTTGAAATTAAAAAGTTAATAGTGTTTTAGATACTGTACAGTACAAACTTAGCTTTCCTGTCTGATTAAAACTGATCACCCAGCCCAACCTCAATTAGTTAAGAACCTGGCAATATGCATATGATAATATGCTTTTCCATTTTAACACAGTACAGTATTCTGAAGAAGGTGCTATACCTTGGCTGATATTTTTCATTTTGTTCTATACTGTAAATATGTGTTACATAAACCTGCAGAACTGTTCCTAGGTATCTCACCCATAAAAAACACAAATACTTAAAAGGTGAAATTTGACCAGTCCATTTCTCCACTTTCCCTCCAGACTCGGTTATTGATTTTATCTTTAAATTAACTCCAAACGTTAGTCTCCTTTCTTCTTGGTTTTATATTATTGCTGGATTTATACAGTTTAGGTACCAAGTCTTTAGTGCCATGATTTTGTTCATTATTGTATATGGTACTATGTAATATATTTGTTTTTTCTGAAAAACCAATAAACACATTTTACATAAAATAAAATGCCTAGGTTAAAATATTACTCTTACATTACTATAGACAAAATAAACAGGGATTTAGTTTTCTTGTAGAACAAAATTAGCTGGCATTTAACTTAAAGACAAATAAACAAATGATTGTTAAATGTTGATTAAAAATCAGTTAGGAAACGAAAATGTGATTTGGACAATACAAATAACAGTAAATAGTATTTTTTCAGTTAATTGTATAATAATTGAAAACTCAAAAGGATGCATTTCAAAGAAAAAAATTAAAAAGTAATTTTCAGCATTTTGCTATCAAATATGTTACATTATCAGGGATTTAACAAAAAAAATAAAATGTTGACAATATTACATATGAAGCCTCTGTTGCTTTGAAATTCCAACTCTTTCAACTCTTAATCTATTTTTTTAATTGCACGTTGTACTGTGTAAAATTTGTTAAGTTAAGTTAAGTTAAATGTTAAGTGTCTTCAGAATACTCTTAATTGAAAAGCTCTATAGAAGGAAAAGATTGATCGATTAAATGTGAATCTTTCTCCATGTTATTTTCCCAAGAATTGCTTCTGTGCATGTTGTTCTTTTACCCACTAAATCTGGTATCACCAGTTGTTTTGTTTATGTCTCTGCTTCCAGCAACACCTCCTGCCCCATACAGGGATAATGATTAAGGGCACGAAGACCAGCCCACCTATTCCACCTATCTTTTCAAAAGCTAGAAGTTTCACAGAGTACTGTTCGGAGAGCAACACGCGGAGGCATATTGCTAGATCACTGCAAGTCTACAGGTGGCTAGGAAGTTGTATGAATCCTAAAGTTGGTGGAGTAATGTCAACCCCTTACCCTGGTGAATGCTTTACTGATTCTGCACCTTTCTTAGGGGACCACCAGTCACAGTCAGCTAGTGTCTAAAATATAGTATTCAGCCTTGAGTTGGATTATGTTCTTTACCAGTTTAGGTATTTGGGAGTCTGAATTTTCATTTGTTCATCTATCAGAGAAGCAATTGCAGCCAACTTCATTTGCCAACAGCATAATACAATTCACTTCATTAAATTCCAAGTTACATAGCCATTGCCATTACATTGACCACATTTCATGGTATATATTTCAGTGTCCCTGTTTTTAAAAGGTGTGATAGTAATTTAATATAAAGATTTTTTTGTTCACTATTAATTATTTGGGGTGGCTAGTTATTTTACTTTTTTTAACAAAAAAAACATCAGTTGTATTTCTGCTTGTAGTATAAAACACCTGAAGATGGTATTCATTTTCATTGCTACTTTTAAAAAGAAAACTGTTATATTGGATTTTGTTTCTGAGTACATTATCTCTCAGCTTTCACATCTTTTGGTAAATTATCCACATTATTGTTAAGACTGATCTGGTATTTAAAATTAAAAAATATATTTAAATTTAAATTTAAATTAAAATAAATCTTTTTGGTAAATGTACTGTTGCTTCGATGTTCGCTTTTTTCCAACATGCTTCTGAACAGAATTTCTTATACAGTATGTATGCCAGGAGTCATGGTGGAACTGAAAAAAAACACCCATCTGTCTGAATCTACATAGTGCTTGGAAAAATTGAATTTTAAAGAAAATATAAAGTAAGCCAAAGTATTCACATTTTTCTGCTTTCTGTTTAGATTACAAAAACACATGCAGCACTATGAAGGTTTCTAAAAGAGGATCCTGAATAATTCTATTCCTTGTCACTGCGTTCAGGAATTCAGGAATTCAGGCCAACATCAGGCAGCAACATAAGCCTTTTGCTTACAAGGCCTCAGAACCTGAACTGAGAGAAACAGCTACTTGTGCCCATTTTCTTTTTTATTTAGAAGCTTCTGTCTATGCCACTGGGTATCTTGGACACTTTGTTTTTGTATTGAAATCATAATGCATGTTTATATACAGTATTAGAGAGGAAACTCCCATATGCAATTGTCAAGACATGTTTTATTGGAAAATAGAAAAACAATTACTAAGTATTTCAATAAACTCTTAGTGAAATTTTGGCTAAATAGTATTTTGGGCAATAAATACTTTTTCTAAATATGCCGTAAGAGTTTGGCTTATTTCTTTTCCCTTTATAAATCTTCTAAGCAGCTGCAAAACTTGGATGAGATGTGGTGAGATTATGTTACTGCAGAATCCAAATTTGTTTGTGACTGATGACATACAGGAGGATTTGTGTGGTGATGATATTTGACATTTTTTGACAATCAGCACATCACTTGTCTAAACAAATTGTTGCAGCTGTACCTATTTGTATAAATATTGGACACACAGAATATCTGTTGAGTTACTTCATTGATTGCCATGTTATACTATCCATCCATCCATTTTCTATCAACTTTATTCAGTACAGGGACGGGTGTTAGCCGGAGTCTTTCCTGGCAAGCAAGGGGCTCAAGGCGGGATACACCCTGGATGGAACATCAGTCCATCTCAGGGAACACACAGACGCAAGCATGCACACACACTGATAACAGGGCCAATTTTTATCAGAATCCACTAATATGTCTTTGGACTATGAGAGGAAACAGAAGCACCTGGAGGAAACATAGGGATAACATACAAACTCCATACATACAGCACCCCAGGTCCTGACTTAAATCCAGGGCCCCAGCGCTTTGAGATACCAATGCTAACCACTGCACCACTGTGCTGTACATTATATGATACTATTGTATTCAGAATCATCTCTCCAGGGAAACTATCACATCTGACAAATTTAAAATGTTACATAAGCCTTATAAACAATATTATAAGTTATAAAAAAAGCAATGAGATCTAACTTTCAAAAGCCCCATTTTGAAAAAGACGGTTTCCATATATTACTGTATACTTGTACTGTACAACACAGTCTCTTAACATTAGTTTTAATTGTCTTACATACTGTAGTTCTGCTCTGTTGATCATATGTTTGCCTTTTACTTTGACCTTAGTAATTGATCCCTGGGGTATTCCCATGTTGACTCCCTGCTTCTGAATGACCTGACTATTTCTCTGACTGTTCTATCAATACATTCCTAAAAGATGCCGTCATTCAATTCATTACAAAGTCCTGGCTGCTCTCCCATCTTTTTCTTTGATAGGCTACCATTAAGTATCATTCTTCATTTTCATTAAGGAGTTTCATTGCATCTTTTCTTAAATGTGAATTCTTTGCAAAACCTCTTTATCGTTTTTGATGTATTCTAACAAGGTAATTAATGCAATGTCATTTAGAAAGGATATTTTGTTTCTGCTCCAATAAAGAGTTTAATTCCACTGTTTCTAACTGTAATCTACACAGTACACCTGATTTTTGAGGAAAATGTTTTAGTAAAAATGATTATTTTCTTAACTTTTTTACTGTTTGCTGTAACTGCAATTTCTGGTGCAATTTTTACTTTTAGATTCAATTTTTTCTCTGAACTTTTGTACTATAAATATAATTTCTTTGTCCTGCATAAAGGGTAGCAAAGAGTCACACTTCTTTCGATGTGACCCTAAATGTAGTCAACAAATTTCATTGTTGCTGTACGTTTCTGTCCACAAGAAATCCTAATGAGGCATGACTCCATAATGTTGTGTTGCTACTTGGTCCACATTGTTCATCATAGAATTCAGGTACAATATTAAAACATTGTTCTGTTCATAAAGGTGTGAATGGCTGTGAAGCAGTTGCATGAAACTACTACAGTATGTTTAACATACACGTGCACATTTATTATAAGGGACAAAAACAAGATGAATTACACAACCTGTTCTTAATGTGATCATGGTAGTAGATGATCTGTGCCCATATACAATAGATTAGATTACAGATTTCAGAACAATATTTACCACAGATGGAAGAGAAACAGGGGAAGAAACTGGATTTTGACCTGTTCTACAAGAAGCACTTTTTCACACGAATTGTTACTGGATGATATGACAATCTATGGTGTAAAGCATATTTATCACAAAGCAAAATTATGCCATTTTGTTTGTTTAAGCATCATACCTGTATTTCATTCAAAGGAAGTCTCCATAATCAGTAATTGTAAGACTATTCTAAAACTTGTAATCACATGTGTCATGACTATATTATTTTAACTGGAAATACTGAGGACTATTGCCTTTAACTGCCCTCTCATAGTAAAGCACTTTCCACGAACTGGTTATTGGTTTGCAGAAAAAAAGTAAAACTCCTACCACTCTCTCCAGTATCCTTTTACTTTTCTCATCAGTGCAGAAGTCAGAGAAGATGGTCCTGTGCATGAACACTAAACCATTGACAAAAATCCAAAAGGCGAACCAGAAGAGGACGAACAAGAAGGTGGTTTTCCTGAATATCCTCACCCCCAGCCACCTGAGAACACAACTTCTCCAGACTAGCATTGCCTGCAGTCAGAACATCCACTTGGCATGGACAACCCATTCAAGAGCAGCACAATGCATGTCTTTCTGAAACAAACTCAGTCATTTTGGAGAGCTGCCATTCAGCAATGAGGAGCTGCTGTGCCTGCTTTGCTCTGGAAATAGCCGAAACGCACTCAGTTTCTTTCTCTCTGTGTCGGCTTTGCATGCTGTGCGCCTTGAAGGATTCGACATGCACTTTCCTTCTGAATGAAGTTCTCCTGCTACAGTGCTCTGCGCTTGCTTTCACAAGTACTGAGCTCTAAGTCAGAACACTGAAAGCTCCTTTTTCATACTGGAGTCGCTTAGTTCCGCCTCCTTTTGCAAGCTGCCTCCTCTGTTGACCAGCCCCTTTGTCTCTAAGTAGCACCTCACACAGTCATGCAGTTTTTTTTATTTTTGCAAGTTCACAGACTTTGCTTTGTGTCACTTGGTTGAGGGGAGGGGGCATAAGAAAAGCATAAAAGCACAAAGGACACATTATTTTCTTCCCTCATTTAAATGATTTCCACGCTCCCTCCCTGACACTATAATCACTTTAAGAAATTATAAAATAAATTTCACACAAAACATTGCAAACTATCCCACACATGTATTTGAATTCAAAGTTTCTAGTATATTTGAGCTTTTAATCATCAAAATAACTTAAATCTAGAGATTAGAAGGAGGTATGGCACTCATAATTCTTGACATACTGTATAGAATGAAACTTAGTTTGTCTGAGTATTATCAATCTCATGGACCGCCAGAAGGAATACGTTTTCTTTTCAAGGCAGTGAGTTCTTCTGATTTTGTTGCTACAGTATAGAAAATACAGTGTATTTGTTGAGTACTGACATTTAAGTAATAAAATAATATCTCCATTAACTATGATTTTCAAATGCACCTTCAACTGTATCAGTTCTTGATTTATTTTAAATGCTGATTTAAAAAAATAAAAAAGCAGTGGTGTAGGAACATTTTAGATTATGATGTCAGACAAACTCTTAAGTCTTATAAGCTTTTTAGTGTAAAGAGGTATCAGAAAGTGCTTTTCAGAAAAAGCCTTCATCTTGCAGGCAGAGGTGCAGCAAAACCTCTTATAAAAGCTTGGAAAAGAAATCTCCTGCTGGTTTTAGTTTTTCTTGTTAAACCTTTTCCCTGTGCATGTGGTGTTTACAGATGTTTTATCTGGGGGTGTCACATGGATTTATGTACTGAAAATCTGGAAGCTTCCATTCACAAGCTATGAAATGACATCAAAATGAAACAGGCCAGATGAGCTGAATCTCTGTGGGAGGGACCTTGCCTGGGGTGTTAACCTCTTTACTTCACCTTCAGGAGTGTGCTTCTTTTCTGGATGTGAGCTCAGATGGCTGCTCGTTCTGTACCTCTGTAACAACCGGTGACTACAAGTTCTAAGGCACTGAAATATAATATGTTAATATGTCCAGGTGGAAACGTTTGGGCACTTCAAGCTGTATGAATTTAACATACATACATACAAGAAGATGTCAATGTAAAACATACTGTACCTCTAAACTTCTAAAGCAACTGAAAGGGCATTTAGAAAACAGGGTCGAAGACAGCAAGCTAAATGTTCTTGAATGGCCACCAAAAAGTCTATCCATAAATCTGTTTCCGGCACTGTAATGGGTTTGCCCAGACTCAAAAGTAGCAAAAGGAGGATAAAAAGAGGATAGAAAGAGGGCTTGTGGAATGTTTGAGATACAAATCCTGCCACAGTACTTCACTTGTATACTAGACTCATCAAAAACAATGATTAAAACCAAAAAAAGGGTGGGAAACTACTCAACTTTATGGTGTCATTTTTTGCAATGGGGCTGATATTCAAAACAGGCTTGAATCGTCAGAGGAAAGAACTGGATTTTAACTTCTTAAGTGTTTATAACAGAAGACCCTTTATAATATGCGATTTCTTAAGATTGTGGAGTTTTGCATATTGGTTTATGTATATCTTGTTCTTTTAACAGCTTCAGTCCTATATTATCTTTCAGGGTCCAGCAAATTAGTAAAAGTATCACCATTATTCATTTTACCTCACTAATACATTTGGAGTCAATTACATGTTGACCAATTTCTTAGGCTCCTGAAAGAGTGTGTACCAGTGGAAGACTTGAGTTCCCAGTTAGAAATATATGATAACTTCCTGTAGCAACACTAATCTTGAATTTGAACTATTTCTTTGTTTTACATCTAATTGTTATAGAGGGACTCAAATGTTATTGTGCAATAAAAGCCATGCTTATTGGAAAGCTGAATGGAGTCAAAATGAAAAGTCAAATCCCTTTCTAATCTCCTTAGTCCAAGGAGGTTATTTTCTTTGAATCTGTGTATGGCATCAATTAATTTGATTGATCCTTTAACTGTTTCCTGGACAGCAGTTTACTTTTGCTGATAACACTGTTTGATAAAAACTGCACATAACATTCTAAATACATTTTTACTCATGCATTGTATGACTTAAACAGTGTATCCTTAACCCCACATCATCAAGGTACCTACTGTATATAATGCAGGACAATGATGAATCAACATAAACACATCACAATACCTGCATATGAATCATTAAAAACCATATTGGAACATTTCCATTTTATCCACAAGCCACTCTCACCTGGATGATGAAGCAGTCACTATGTGCCAGTATCACCACTACACAGACCAGGAAGTGAGAAGTTGTTTTGCTGGTTAAATTAAGGGGGAACTTGGGGTAGATCAAATTGTGAAAACTCAGAGATGAATTTAGAAATAGAAACGGATACCCCTAGTCTTACAAATAGTGCTATTAATGACTCAATAGTCAGGAACTCAATGTAATACCTCATCCACAATACAACACCTCCTACAGAACAGTGTCACCAGCTGGTCCACTAATACCAATTAACAGTAGCAGCCTGGATTTCTTTGAACATCTCCCATTCCAGTACTGATGAGACCTCTCTTTACTTAACTGGTGAGGTCAGGCTAGAAAATGGTGTGATTCAGCTGCCCTTAACAGGGTAACACTATTGCATATCATTATGGTCTAAACCCAGTACACATTCCCCATTAGTGGGGGAACAGTCCAATGATTGGCAAATTCTTCTTTGCAATACCAAGAAGCAGCCAAAGTTTTTTATTTGTTATTTAGAATGCATGTGTTTTTGCAACTGGAATGTAGAACTTTGCCCTTATCAAAGTTAAATTTAATTTGCCTGATGTATACCCAGTCCCAAACAGCATATATGTTGTGTTTGTTTCCCTTACTTAGTGATTACAATATTTTAGATTATTAATCTTAATCAGGAAGATCACCGGACTTAATTTAGGTTTGTGTAGCACGAAATGTTACAAACTGGGACTTAAGAGTGAATACTCATTACATACAGTACCTTCTGCCCAATCTAAGGTCTTTCCTGTTGTCAGTATTCTGTTTCCTAGAAATTAACCCATCCTAAACCTGTATTCATGTATAACATAATTTCCCACAGATTTATCTTTGTTAATTAACCATAAGGGTGTAATTTTAACAGTAGCCTTCTGGAAATCTAAATGTTTCCATTTAGATAATTTAGACCAATTCGACTAGATAAAAAAATAAAACTTTAATAAGTTAATTTAAAAAAGGTTTTTCTAAACATGGAATTATTTTTGTTCAACAGCAATACTTACTTTAAATAAAATAAATAACTTTAATAACTTAAATGCACTTCTAACTTTTATAGAAATACAGGAGAGGTGTTTACTGTCCGGTTCACTTTGTGTCCTTATCTCAGATTAATTATACTAGATTAGATCATATCAGATTTTGAGATGCAATTTTCTTTTGGTGCTTTAATTTGAATGTACCTGTTTTGAAACAGCAATTTAATCATTATTATGGATTTAATTAAGGGCTTACATATGGTATATTTTATTTAAGTGTGTTTGGGAAATTACAGTCAGACCCAGGAAATATACTTTCTTTAAGAGCAGCTAGACCTTGTAACACTTCTCTCCTGCTCTGAGTGGAGCCCCTGTTAATTCTGAGGTTTATTATCAGTTTCTTACTCAGTACACATTTGTGTATTATTCACCTGATATTTATTTTGAAATCTATCTTTAACTGGTCCATTCAAGGTCTTATACTGTTTACTGATGTGGTGTAGAACATGAAAAAAAATCATCATCCAGTATATATCAGGCTTTTACGGCATATCATTCTATCTTGTAGTCTTTCTGATATTGAAGAATATACCTTGTCTTTCCTTCAAAGATATTTTACAAATAATTATTACAAATTATTTTAAAAGAACCCTGTAATGATTGAGATACTTAATTGATAGCTCTTCAAGACACTCATCAGGACACCTGGACTGCAGTGATCTATGCCCTCTTCTGAGGTATTGATGCATTTATTCAAAGTCTTCAAAGGTATAATTGCAAAGACAGTCCAAAAGATGTCTCCATAAACAACTTTATTTTTTGCACATAGAGTTGTGGGGGCCTGACAAAAACTCTGTGGAGATTTGCAGTAGCAGTTGACTCTCTGAGATCTGTTCAGAAAAGGCTTAATGGCATGCTTTAAGCAACCAAATGATTATTTTTGACCTCTTGAATTCTGAAGTTCTTTACTGACCGAGAATTAGAAACAGATATAAAAATGTATTGAGTCTAAGAGGTCTTATTCTACATACTTTGGTAATTTTAAACTTGCTTAGTAAAATAAAAAAACATAAACTTTATGACCATTAGTGGCAGCTATTTCCAATTACTATAATCGACGAACCTACAAAAAGGTGGGCCTACATTCCCATCTTGTGGCAGGAATGTGTTGTCACTTCTGTTGAAATTCTTGTTTCAAGTAAAATAAAGGAACTGATACTGTAGATAAAGTCGCCACATAAAGAAGGGTGATTTATCATTTTACTTTCTCAACTGCGTTGAACAATACAATTCTAGAATTTTATCATTCTAGAATGATAAAATAAATGGCTCTTTTCACAACGCAGGCACATGTAAAATGCAATTGTTCTCAAAGAACAGCTTTGTTCTAATAAGCCATCCCTTAAAGATATACAACTATAGTTTATGAAGATTCAAAGAATAGTTTGTCGACAATACACTGGCACTTCTACGATCACTCCGGATTGTTCAGATTGTTGTATTTATAGATTTTGCATTGATTAGAGGTCTTTTTCCCCCCGAAAATTACCTGTCATGTTAAAAAGTAACTGAAATGCAGACATTTGTTTAATACATGCGTGACTGCAGTTAAAATGTGTTTTTTAACTGGTATGGATGGTATGGATAAATTTGTTTGCAGTAA